GGTGTTTAGTCATGCTGGCCACATGACCACGGAAACGTCTTCGGACAGCGCTGGCTCTTCGGCTTTGAAACGGAGATGAGCACCGCAACCCTACAGTCGGATTCGACTGGTTTTTGAGCAAGGGAACCTTTACCTTTAGGGAGGAAAGCAGCTGTGGGTGGAGATTTGGAGTGGAAAATCCCACACAACTTCTCCATTCAAAATCCCCTGCTCAAAACAGCATCAGGGTTCAATCACGCACATTTGTGTGCAACATATACTGAGTTCCTTTGGCACTGTGTGTGAAAATGCCCAAATGTATCTGTCACTAGAGAGATTCCATACCTGTTCAACTAGCCTGCAGATGCGCTCACTATAACCTCTTCCGAGGTACCTGGCAATAAGCTGGCACAGGAGGCACTTCCAAAAAGTGCCTTCATTTCTTAATGTTAAGAATGTAAGAACAAAAGAAGAGCCTTGCTGGATCAGACCAGAAGAAGAAGAAGAGATTGTATTTATACCCCGCTATTCACTACCCGAAGGCTTCTCAGAGCGACTTACAAACTCCTTTCCCTTCCCCTCCCCACAACAGACACCCTGTGAGGTAGGTGGGGCTGAGAGAGCTCTGACAGAAACTGCCCTTTCTCAAGAACAGCTGTGCCAGAACTATGGCTTGCCCAAAGTCATCCAGCAGGTGCGAGTGGAGGAGTGGGGAATCAAACCCGGTTATCCCAGATTACAGTCCGCGCACTTAACCACTACACCAAACTGGCCAGTGACGGTCCATCTAGTCCAGCATACTGTCTCACACAGCGGCCAACCAGGTCCTCTGGATGGCCAAGAAGAGGACATGGAGGCCAAGACCTCCCCTGATGTTGCCTCCTGGCAGTAAGATTCAGTGGTTGGCTGCCTCTGAACATGAAGGTTCCCTTTAGTCACTTATCCTCCATGAATCTACCTAATCCCCTTCTAAGGCTGTTTATTCCTGTGGGCATCACTACATCCTCTGGCAGCGAATTCCACATTTTAATAACCCCCTGTGTAAAGAAGTGTTTCCTTTTGTCTGTTCTGAATCTACTGCCCGTCAGCTTCATTTAATGCCCTCAAATTCTAGTATTTTGGGAGGGGGCGAAAAAAATTATCTTGTCAACTCTCTCCACCCCACACATAATTTTATAAACCTCTATCATGTCCAGTGCTCCCTCTAAGCTGTGGAGTCCTGTGAGCAAAAATTCTACGTCGTGAGCTACTGGCATTAAAGTGGTGAGCGAGCGATTTGGCTGCTGCATAAATTAGTTTGCTCTGGAGCCCTCCTTCCTGAGCGGAGACAAAAATGTGTGAGCCGGAGGCTAAAAAACTGTGAGCTAGCTCACACTAACTCAGCTTAGAGGGAACACTGATCATGTCCCCCCCTTAGTCGTCTCTTTTCTGAACTGAAAATTCCCAGACTCTTCAGCCTTTCCTCACATTGCAATAGTCACTTGCTTGGGATTAGAATCAGTGTCTACTACACCTGACCATATTGTTCCAACAGCACTCTAAACTGAAAGGTTGCAGAAATAATCTTTCCTACACTGGTTTCGGTATTGGTTGTGCTAATGTTCAGATTACCTCGTCCTGCAGCTGGTTCCGATTAGCCTCCTCTTTTTGGTGTTCTGCCCTCAGTTTGGCAGCCTGCCGATCAGCTACGCCAATCCTCTTCTCATACTCCATGTTGTTGCCGCTCTCATTCGCCAGAAACTGGATCTTGTCCTTAAGCACGCTTTCCTTGGCTCGTATCGCTCGCCTGGCCTGGGCTAACAGCTAGGTGCAGAAAAGGATGTACGTTGTTTTTAAGAGAGCAGCCTGATCAATCAACTGCCAAACTGAGTACCAAGATGCACCATAAAATAAAATCCAAGTATCTATTAACACCCGGATGTGTGTGAAGAAGAAGAGATGAAGAAGAAGAGATTGGATTTATACCCCACCCTTCACTCGGAGTCTCAGAGCGGCTTACAAACTCCTTTTCCTTCCCCTCCCCACAACAGACACCCTGTCAGGCTCTGACAGAAACTGCTCTTTTCAAAAACACCTCTGCCAGAACTATGGCCTGCCCAAGGTCATTTAGCAGCTGCGAATGGAGGAGTGGGGAATCAAACCTGGCTCTCCCAGATTAGAGTCCTCACATTTACACCAAACTAGCTGCAATAACTCATTAGTACTCAGAGGCACACATGCATTGCAAGTAACCCACATCCAAGAAAATGGATTACCAGGCCACATTGGTCTATTTCTTGATCTCTTCTCTGCATCTGCTCTATGGTGTTTTCCCACTGTCTGATAAGCTCCTGTCTCTCGCGATGAACCCTGCGAAAATCTTCAGCTGCCTTATCCAGCTCGATCTGTAATGAGAAATCATGGAACCCAAACATTGGTGCTTGTATCCCAAAAAACCTGCAAGCTCATGGAACAGAATCTCCCAGCCCTTCTCTTCTGCTGAAGCCCATCCAAATTGTGCTCCGGGGAGTCAGGGGGCTCTCAAGCAGAATGCAGTGCAATATGGCTGTCCGCAGTCCCCGCTTCCCCCTCCCCAAAACCACCAAAGGAAAGACACTGCTATCAGTGGCAGGTGACAAGGATGCAAGTCACAAAGTAAAATCTCCGGCTGCTCCACGGACCCACCTGAGCGGCGAGGGTCTCCGTCAGCTCGTTGTCAAGAATTTTGCGCCTGTGATTACAGTCCACAGTCAGCATCTCGATCTTCATAGTCAACGCCTGAAATGAAAGGATGACGAAACCTGCTGTTAACTCTTAACCCAGTCTGTTTTAAGGGTTGCCAAAATATTATCTCTGCCATGTTTTGAGACAGGATGGAACCCCTAGGTGATCGAATCATAATGCCAGAAGGGACTCGCAGATCACCCAGTTGAATGCCACAAATCTTGGTGTCATGTATTCCCTTCAGCATGGGTCGCCCATGTGTGCGTCAAAACGACCAAGCCAGTTTACTGGCTACCTAATGTCAGCTGTTAACATTTGGCGTTAAACCTTCACAAGGTAGCTTGAGCAGGGCAGGACAGAATTTAAAATTACATTTAATGCTAACTGGATTAATATTCTTTTCCTGGATTTCCTTCTCAGAGAAATTCCTTTGAAATTAACTGTTGTGCTTTGATGCAATGAAAGGAAGGCATTTCAGGGTGGACGAGATGTGGGTTTTTACGCATTCTCATTTTCCTTGCTTGTGTGCACCTGTTGCTTCGGGGGTATAATGCTAAGATGGCTGCCAAATAATCTTAGGATTACCATACACACTGCCATACAATAATTATTATTACTTTTCTACTTGTGCGTCTTTTCCCCTGCAGGGAGAAAAATAACTGGAAAGCAATCCACTTTGCAGTCACCAAGGTTGCTTTAGGGTAAAAACTGTCAGGGGGTTCCTCCTCTTGTGGAGCAAATCCAGATGTGATCTGATCTGAAGCTAGGAGTAATAGAGATTTGCTGTTTAAAAAAACCCATGCATGACCTTTCAGAAACGATTCACATACTCTTATTTTGCTGTCGTCTTGCTGGGCATATTTCTGAATCACCAAGGAATCATTGTCTTTACGAGCGGACTCTTCTAACCAAGCTTCTAATGCCTGTTGGTCCCAGTTCATTTGGCATCTTAAGGCTTCCAGCTTCTGAGTCAATTTGAAGAGATTGTTCTAACGACGTCAGAGAAAAAAAGAGAGAAAGGCGTACAAAAGTCATATACATGTGAGAATAACAAGGCTTCCAACAGCTACTTTACTGTTCACTCAAAACTTAAACTGAGCTCAGGCAATACCAGACCACGTTTACATATCTTGCAGCTCACCACTGGTCCATTCTGCATCTGGCATTCGTTCCACATTGTCTCAGCACTCATCTTCGGTTCCCCCTTGCTTCGGAAAATCTGTTTTCACTGCATTGACTTAGATCCTGGTTTCTGCACTGGCTACCCATTAAGTCCCGTGTCAGCTTGCCATCTATTTTGTTTTCAGTGCTCACTCCTGCATTGCTATGCAGATTTTCCTGTGTCACTACTTGCCTCAGTGGTCATTAGCAGCGTAGGAGATGCTCTGGATGGTGGATCACACCTGACTGAGCCAAGTAATTAATGGCGAGGTGATAAATACAGAGGGGGAAATAGGGGTGGGGGAACTGATGGAGATCAATGAAGCCACATCAAGTTGCCTGCTTATTGTTCCCTTCGAATCAGAAGCAGAGGAAGGAAATGGTGCAGCTCAAAACCACATTCAGATAGCCCAGGGCAATGCCGTACTGACTGCGAAGTCACCCCTGACTATGCAAGAAGGTACCTATAAAACCCGATGGACAAAGAAAGTGAAAGCAACATGCAGTGCAGAGGGAGATTAATGTCCCAGCTTGGAACTGCGGGGAAACAGATGGGTGCAGAATCAGCCCACTATCTCCTCTTCAGAGCCATCCCAAATCCCACTCAAGTCAATGAATCTACTCTGAAGGCCGTGATTTATGCCGCAGAGTTATGGGTGCCAATGAGTGGATGCAATCGGCTTTTATGGCAAGAGGGGATCATAAACTCATAACACTGATGGGTTTGTAAAAAGGTAAAGGTAAAGGTTCCCTTGCTTGAAAGCCAATTGAATCTGACTCTAGGGTTGCGGTGCTCATCTCCGTTTCAAAGCCAAAGAGCCAGCGCTGTCCAAAGACGTTTCCGTGGTCATGTCGCCGGTGTTACCATGTGTGCTTGTAAATGCATTATTTGTGCTGTGCTGATGTTATGTGTCTGTAAAATGTCTTTGCATTTGTGCATATGGGATAAGGAAATTGCTGTGTCTTGAATGGCTTGCTCTGCATCTCATGCTTGCATCTGGATGAGCAGGGCTTGAGCTGCCTGTGCTAAAGAACACGTGCATACCCGCACCTTCCCAGCGTGCCTCAGGACAAAGAGGACATTCGCCATTAAGCTCAGCTTGGAGACTTGAAAGAACAACAGGTTTCCCAACATTACAGACCTTCAGGATAACATGTAACCCCACTATCTGGTTTGGCATCACAAAGAATAACATCCTGTATTGCCTTCATGGACCAGGCACATCTCTGCAAGTCAAAAGTTGCCATGGGAACCCAACTTTGACACCTTGCCACATGGCTCCCTTTGAAGTTAGGCTAGAATTTAAATATTGCCCCCTGCCCCTTAGGTAGAACGTCACGACCTGTCAACCTATAGGTATGGAGAAGGGGACGGATTTCAGGTATAGATTGGCCTTAAGCCAAACCCCAATACTAGGTTTTAAAAGAGGAAACACAGCTTTTGTTTCCTGAGTTGCTGGTTAATCCATCCTTCCTTATACTTTCACCTTGCAACGTAAGTCTACTACAGGTGATTCTAAGTGTTCCCTGGATCGCGCAACCAGGAGAGCGCACACGTGTCTGGCTGGTCCAGACAGTGTGTTTTTAGGGTCCCTAAAGATAGAGCTTATGTTCCTGATCCTTCTGCTGAGAAAGAGTCACCTTTCATTCGGAATCAGATGAGTATTAACGCTACCCTCCTGTGCCTCAACCCTATGTTAGTCTGAATTTATTATTTTTCATACTGAAATGCTTTGTATTTACTACTGTAACTAAAGGAATCTTGAACGTATGTGTGAGTGTATCTGTGTTCGTGTGCTTGAGAAATCAAACTAGTAAAGACAACATTTATTCATTAAACCTAGTGTGTTGTCTATTTGCTTGGGAAAAGGAGTGTTTGTTTCTGATTAAGATCTCTCTATACAAGTGATCAACAAAGGACCTAGGATAAGCCCCTGTTGTAGATAAAACAGATTTGGGCTAGTGGAACAATCCTCCACCGAGGAGTTCCCGTAACACCGGCATGACTAAACACCAAGGCGCCTGTTAAAAAGACTGGCTTCTCCCAAATCCTTGCCACATCTGTGCCTTTTGGGGGGGAAGTACTGATGGGCTGAATCCTATGCTTTGTTCTGCTTGCAGGAGACTTCCCCCCCACACACACAATGAAGGCCCCTTTGGGCACCCCCATGCTGTTTACTGACCTCCAGGAGGAGGAGTCTGGCAAGCAGAGCAGGCCGCACTGGGAAGGGGGAGGCAGGAAAGTTCTGTTCCGCTCACAGGAATTGTGGTCCATCCCCGTGGAGATTATTACTTACTATGGCTGGGATTCAAAGATGTGGACATCTACGTGTTTAGATAATTTCCTAGTGGTTACTTCACAATAATGTAATAATATCAAAACAGATTTTAAAAGGCAAATGCTATGCTGGGGATGATCAGGAAGGGGACTTAAAACAAACCCGCCAGTATCATAATGCCCCAGTATAAATCTATGGTGCGGCCTCATTTGGAATACTGTGTACGGTTCTGGTCGCAGCACCTCAAAAAAGGTATTACAGCACTGAAAAAGGTGCAGACAGGGACAACTAAAATGCTTAAAGGGATGGAACCCCTTCTCTATGAAGAAAGGTGAAAGAGGTAGGGCTCTTTAGCCTAGAGAAATGACTACTGAGGGGTGACATGACAGAGGTTTACAAAATTATGCATGGGATAGAGAAGGTACAGAAAGAAGTACTTTTCTCCCTTTCTCATAATACAAGAACTCGTGGGCACTTAATGAAATTAATGAGCAGTTGGGTTAGAACAGATAAAAGGAAGTACCTCTTCACCCAAAGAGTCATTAATACGTGGAATTCCTGCCACAGGAAGTGGTGGCGGCTTACATCATTCACCTCTCCTCCATTTCATCCTCACAACAACCCCATGAGGTAGGCCACACTCAGAGCGTGTGACTGACCCAAGGTCACCCACTAAGCTTCCGTGGCACCAAGCTAGGTGACCAAAAAGGTTAAAAAGAAAAAAATCCCTATCTATACAGTTATCACTGTCAACTGAAAAAAAGCTAAAACTATAATTCTAAAGCGTTAATCAAATTGCACATATCAAAAACCATGTATCACAAAAGTTTTTGGTTATGTACATGTGATATATAAAACCTTTTTATTAAAATTATACTTGTATACAGGGGAATGTCACGCAGTTTCAAGTTACAATTACAATGGATGTAATTGATGTCACAGAGTTACAACTGATGACGAAAGAACGAAGTCTGAGTCCGGTGGCACCTTTAAGACCAACAAAATTTAATTTAGAAATTTAGAAAATTTAGAAATCTAAAGTATAAATAAATAAATAAATAAATTCCGGGTATAAACTTTCATGAGCATTCACACTTCTTCAGATATGAAAGCTTATACCCAGAATTAAACTTTATTGGTCTTAAAGGTGCCACCAGACTCAGACTTTTATTGACAATTGACGGTGGTAACTCTATACATTGGGGGGGGGGGGTTCCCCCTGACTTTTTGTTACCTAGTCTCTTCTGGGTTGGAATTATCCCCCTCCTCTCTTTCTGCTTCTTTTCGCAGACTGGGGATTCAAAACTGGGTCTCCGAGATCCCAGTCTGACACTACCCCACACTGGGGGGGGGGGGGGGGGGGTTGAAATTGGAGAAGAGATTTCTCACGAAAGCTCCTCCCCTGCCACAAATTTTGTTGGTCTGTAAGGTGCTCCTGGACTCTTGCTCTTTTCTGCTGCTACAGACAGACTAACACACAGCTACCCGCCTTGATCTACCTAACACTGTAATGCAATCCATGTTGTGTAACAGACTCGCTGCTAGACCAGAAGAAGAATTCTGATAGCCATTACCACATTATACTGGCTTATGAGACACGCTGCTTCCAGATTTGCATTGTTAAGATAGGGTACAAAAGGACAACTGCAGTGGACCAGGACTAATAGCGACAGCGTTGCCATGAGATGTCCTTTGTTTAAAGAAGCAACACAGTTCGTTCGCAAGCACAGCAGTGGAGAAAACTATTCCACTCAAAGCAGGATTCTTTCCGGAAATCAAAAGAAACATACCTCTTGACTAATTTTCTTCTCCCTTAACGAAACCATCTCATTCTCCAGCCTTTGAATCTCACTCTTCAGGCGCCCCAGCTCTCTCTCTGCAAGGGCTTTAAAATGCAGTTCGGTTTCAATTTCATTCTTTCTGGCTCTGGAAAGAGACTAGAGAGAAAGTCAATTAATTATTTCTGCAAGGCTAATGAGCACTGAAGATTAAGAGGCATCTCTTACGGTTTGTTTCATTTTCTCAACAAAAGGAATTGGAGATAAAAATGGATGTAAAGTTATAAAGTATACAACTAAGGGCTTCCATATGAGTTTTGTATGAAAGATCTAGTATTCTCTCTCAAAGTGGTTTTCTATAGCTAGCTAGCCAAGTGAAAAGAAAAATTTGTTTTTCTGCAGTCCATCAGAACAAAACTAGAGTTAACAATATTTAGTACAAGTGCAATACCTTTGTTGGCAAAGTAAATTTAACATGACATTTAGGATCAATATTTAAACGGGTTCCTCCTCCACCTTGTGTTTACTCCAGGAAATATGACTGCAACACACAGCTTGTTGTATTAAGCTGCTGTATGGATTAACTGACATTAACTTGGTCTTTCTATTAAAACATTTTTGGTATATGTTGCCTGTTACATTATATCAGTTCAATACGGTATTATCTGACCAGCTGTGTTAGTTAAAACTTCTAGAATGTTAAATGCAAATATCTTCTAGGATATTCAGTTTAACAAGTTAATGAGCTCACTTTTTGTTTCCTGGACACCCCTCAATTTAAGGGATTAACAGACTCTATGCATGTTTTCAGAGACTAAATTATATTCTTTTGCTTTAAAAGAACTGCAGACTACTTATGTGTTATAGGTTGGTGGATCCTGCAATCCAGACACAGAGATCACAATTTTTTCTCAAGTTCCCGGTAGCCACATGGGTCAGGAGAAGGTGTGTCAACTCTGTGTTTGCAAATTCCCGGAGATCTGGGGGTGAAGCCTGGAGACGATGGGGACTGGGGAAGACAGGGACCTCAGTGGGACACAATGCCATGGAGTCCACCCACCAAAGCAGCCATTTTCTTCAAGGGGACTGGTTTCTGTAGTCTGGAAGTCACATGTCATTCCGGGAAATCTCCAGGCCCCACCTGGAGTTTAGCAACCCTAATCAGGAGGCTGCAGCGGACAGTAGGAAGGGTAAGAAAATGCTCTTTCTACCTCTTCTGTCGGCACAGCTCAGATGACAGAAGGGAGAGGAGAGGGCAATTTCTCCTCCTTCCTTCCAGCTGGGGCCCAGCGTTCCCCCAGAATTATAACTGATCTCCAGACTACAGAGGTCAGGCACCCTGGAGGAAATGGCACTTTTGGAAAGCAGCCTCTGTGGCATCACATTCCTGCCGAGCTCCCAGTCCCCACCACAGACTCCACCCTCCTCAGGCATGGCTCCCAGATCTCCCAGAATCTCCCAAGTCAGAATCCGCCACTCCACCCCAACCCACGTGGGCCATTAGAAAAGGCGGCCCTTGGGATGGACTTTCCCAGGGTTTGAAATAATTGGGCCGGGGGAAGGGGAACGTCAGCTATGCTGCCATTGCAGCAGGGGGGGCTGATGAGGGTCTTCTTCACGCCTCTGGTATTTTGTCTTTCGATTCCCACTCACCCTCTTATCTTGAAGCTCAGACAACTGATCTTGGCGCTTCTCCCTGCAGGCTTTGCTGGGAACCTAGGCTCCTTAGTTTTAGGCACAATTTCTTGCTTTGCTTATTGGCTTACCTGCATCAGGGGTTCAGTTCGAATTCTGAATAACTGTACCTTTCCCGCCTGGGACCCCGGTTCTGACACTGACCGTGTAAGATTGACTTGCTTCTACCGCCCAATAAACCTGATCCTAGTTAAGGAACGTTGTTGGGACTGTTTCTGGCAAGACTCCGACAGGGAACATGGGAAAGGTCCATAATCTTTGCATCCACTCTCATATGAGCAGAAAGGCATTTTCACAGATACCGGGGAGGCGTCCATGATTTCATCAATTTCTCATTTTAAAAATGCACTCCCTCCTCCCCTGCAATGCTATATTATCCCGAGGGTCCCCCCAAAGCTCAGAATCAGCTTTTCAGGTGGTCCGGCCAACTGCAGAAGATGTGAAAGATCTATTCCAGTTCTTTGAACCCAACCCAGTATGAACTGGGGAAGAACCGCAAACCCTACAGATAAAACAATTTGAACTTAGTTGCAGATTTCATGTGGGAAATATATTAACAGATGCAAAAATCTAGCACTCCTGTTTGGTTTCAGACAGGTCAACAACAAGCATGCAACGTGCATTTAGGGGATACCTGCATTTCAGTAAAGCAGAAATCTCAGCCATTTACCTGTGTCAAATTAAACTCCTGCTTGACATTTTTCAAGTGTGCTATCATCGCTGCGATACGTTCTTCATAGTCAGTCACCTGATTTTCCAAGCTGACCTTTTCTTTTTCCATACTCTGAAACTGGGGAACAAAACATCAAAGATATTTCAATATTACTTTGAATCCATTAAAAAAGCACTCAGCTTTTAACATAAACTGCTTTCTCTTGGAAATGGGGTGGCACCACAAAAGAGCCTCCCCAGAGAATTCTCGGAGAAAAGCCCTTTAGGGACCATCCATACAGTGCGGTTCATTTTGTTTTGTGCACTTTGGGCCCATACTCCCACCAAGGAGCTCAGGTAGGGTTGCAAGCTCCATCTTGCGAAATTCCTGGAGATTCTGGGGGTGGAATCTGGGCCGGGCAGGGTTTAGGGAGGGGAGGGACTTCAAGGCGGGACTTCAGCAGGGTATAAGGCAGGTGGACTCTTCTCCGGGGGAACTGATCCCTGTCGTCTGGAGATCAGTTGTAATTAGGAGTGTGCACGAGAAAACCTGCTCCCCATAAGCACTAAACTTGGGGCAGAAAACCCCTGTGGAAAACACTTTGCACGCGCAACAACACTGTGAGGAAGTTGGCTAGAGAGTGAGTGACTGCCCCCAGGTCACCCAGCAAACTTCCATGGCAAGGTAGGAATTTGAACCCAGGCCTCCCAGATCACACTTTGATGCTCTGACTACTAAACCTCACTAGTTATGGTTTTTTTAGCCCCCTCTTCTCCTCATTTTAGCAGATCTTATACAGAATTAGGTGTCCCAAATCTACTTAGTTCAATGGGCTTAGTTATGCATAAACCTGTGTAAGGTCAGAGTGTAAACCTCTCGCTGGTCATAACTGTCCGCCTCCCTTCTTCCATTCATGCAAGGCCTATAGAGTACAACCACTTTAACAATCCAACGAGAAGTTAGAAACGGCTCACTAAATGCCTGCTGGTATTATAAGCTTCTTATTTTCCCACCGCCTTCAGGTTTCAGAACAGGGATCACCAACAAAAAGCCACCATATGGTTGACCGCTACAAAACAACTTGAATCTATTCCTTTTAAACAAAGAATCATTGAAATTGGTCTTTGCTGCTTCCAGAGACTATCCCCCCCCCCCACAGTCTCTGAAAGCAAAGGCAAGATAGAGCGGGCATGAAATTCAGCCTTCAGGGAGGAAGAGTACCAAACTCTGGCAGACACACAAAATCGACATTTTCACTTTAAAATGGGAGTTCAACAAAAAACAAGGCTAAGTTGGAAAAAATCAAGGCTAAGGCTTTCAGTGGGTATTAGCCAAACAAAACCTCCACGAGAGGCAACAGGCCTCTGAATACCAAACACTGAACAGCAAGAAGCAGAAGAGGGCACCAGCCAGTTTGGTGTAATGGTTAAGTGTGTGGACTCTAATCTGGGAGAACCGGGTTTGATTTCCCCACTCCTCCATTTGCACCTGCTGGATGACCTTGGGCATGCCACAGTTCTGTCAGAGCTGTCCTTGAAAGAGCAGTTTCTGTCAGAGCTCTCTCAGCCCCACCTACCTCACAGGGTGTCTGTTGTGGGGAGGGGAAGGGAAAGGAGTTTGTGAGCCGCTCTGAGACTCTGAGGGAAGGGAAGGGTATAAATCCAATCTCTTTTCTTCTTCTTCTTTCTGGGAAGCACATGGCTGGGCCAGTACTGGAAAGAGGCACACAGTGGCCTCTCTGTCTAACAGTCCTTCTGCCTTCCTTTGAGGGAAACCTACCGTCAGGGGTGCCAACTCCAGGTTGTGAAATTCTTGGAAACTTGGGGAGGGTGGGGTTCGGCAAGGACAGGGACCTCAGTGGGGTACAAATACAATTGCCATACAGCCCACCCTCCTAAGCAGCCATTTGTTCCAGGGGAACTGATCCCCGTTGCCTGGAGGCCAGTTATAATTCCGGGAGATCTCCAGGGCCCACCTGGAGGTCGGCAATGCTACTTCGAGTCCCAATTTGGGAGGGGGGGAAGTGGGCAACAAATGAATGCATCAATGCAAGTGCGCCTTAAAAAGCCAACCAACGCCATAAGCTTGCTTTCACCCCGTGCAGCTGAGGGAGAGGAACGGGCTCGTCGCAGAGACGCGGCGGGCAGCCTCCTTCGGGAGTGGGGCTCGCTTGCTGGGTTTGCAGGATGGAGTGGGGGGGGCGCGTTTCTGAGTGTTCCCCGCCTCCTTTGCTGCCCCTCGCCCCGACTCAGGTGGGCACCCGCCGCGTCCCCGCCCCCCCTGCCCGGGCTTTGCCTTTTGCTCCAGCCTCTTGTTTTCCTCGCTGGCCACGGGGATGGCGAACCCATCGTCCCAGTCGAGCTCGGCCAGGACCGAGGCGGTGGAGGTGGTGGAGCCGGTGGCCCTGCTGCTCGCGTCGCCGCCGCTGCTGCTGCTGCCGCTACCTTCGCCGCTCCCCGAGGAGTCCATGACGGCGCCCCTCGAGAGCAGGGCCGCCCCCCAACTTTTTCGGGCCCAGGTCGGCGCAACCACCAGCCGCGCCGTTGGTTGCCTTGGCAACAGCCGGCGCCGGGCCTCGGCAACCGCCGCTCGCGCGCGCTGGCCTTGCGGTTCCACGAGGGCCCTGAAGAGGGCGCTGGGCTCGCCCGGGCGCCTCTTGCATGGTGCAGGCCGACCCTAGTAGGCTGCCTGGGGGCTTCGGTGGAGCCAGTGCCCTTAACTCTGTTCTGAACCCATTGACGTCTGTCTGTTTCGAGGAGGAGGCGCAATATAGCTAGGTAAAGGTAAAGGTCTCCCTTGCTCGAAAGCCAGTCGAATCCGACTCTAGGGTTGCGGTGCTCATCTCCGTTTCAAAGCCGAAGAGCCAGCGCTGTCCGAAGACGTTTCCGTGGTCATGTGGCCGGCATGACTAAACACCAAGG